AGCGCATCAGACGCGCCTGCATCGCCGCCGCCTCGTCGCCGCATCACGCTTCCTCGGTAACAGCCGCTCTCCGATCAGCAACGGACTTCCTATCCCCGTCGGCCCGACAACGTCATACAACATGACACACCGGTCCCCGAGTCCGATCGGCAACGGACTTCCTATCCCCGTCGGCCCAACAACGTCATACGGTATGACACACCGGCCCTCGTTTCCCCGCCTAAAGTCCCCTAGACACTAGCAGTTGCCGTAGCACCAGCCGCTTATGTAATGCCTGGTCCGTGCGCACTCTGACTAGTATATAAGGACCCCCTTCGTCGCTACCTAGCCCCATCTCAACCTCTTGGTTTATTGGGCTAGGTAAGCCTTTGTTTGTATTGTAGTACAGTTGCTAATATAACTTGGTTTATTGGGCTAGCTGAATAAGCTAACACAGTAGTCGCCAGACCTCGTCGGCGCCGCCTCCTAGTTAGATCCACGCAGCATCCTTAGTGGTGTGTTGACGCAAGTCCACATCATTAGGTTGAGATCTTCGTGCACCCAGACTACCCCCCTATCCAGTGCTCCGTGCACAGTTTTAAAAAAGTTTATTCCTACCGTTTGAAGAGTAAGTCTCTTCGGCGATTGGTGGCAGACGTACGCGCGTAGCGCTAATCCCTGCATAAAACCAGTGCCGAAGGATTTGCCCGACCGCCCCCGCGCTTTCAAACGCCTCACGGACGAGCGTCACCCACGCCTCCGACGCGCGCTGCCCGAAGCCGTCTTCGACCAACTCAGTCGAGAACGCGAAGCAGGCGCCCCACACCGGTACACCACCACCGAGCTCCGTGCCGTCGTCAGGCACGTCTCTACACTCCCGCCTCCGTCCACCGCTCTCCCTACCATCGACTGGGACGCAGTCGAGCAGGCCAAACTCGCGGCCCACGACGACCGCCAACACTTCCAAGCGCAACGCAACCAAGCCCGCGCTAGGCAAAACGCGCACGCCAGCGCCTCTTCCAGCCGCTCTCTAGCGGATCGTCTCACCGCCGCTCCTACCTACACCCCCATCGCCCCGAAGCCCGTCACCATCGACTTCTCCCGCTACACGGCTGCCGACCTCGCTCGCATCTTCGCGCCGAAATTCGCCGCCACTCTCAAACGCTTCAACGTGCTCGAATCGCTCGACTGCCCCGACGTTCTCACCGACGACATCAACGCCGTCTTCAAGCTTCGCGACCGCCTCGCTCACCTCGATCGCACACTCAAAGACGTCTCACGCGTCATCAGCGTCGAGGAGTGGAACCGCTGGGATTCAGGATTGAAGCAGATCGGCGGGATCTCATTCAAAGGACTGCGGCGTAACAGAGTCCAGATTTTCAAAGCACTTCGTGCGGTTTGGGTAAACGGGTATTTCAATTAGATAAGCTGGACGAATATATAGTTTTCGAATATATAGATTACGACGAGGAACGAATCCTCGATCCGTACGTACTAGATTACGCGCTCGACCATCTTGTCGAGTTAGAATTAGTACAATTATTCCTCGAACTCCCTTTCCACTTTCTATAAACCCGTTCTCCGTCCTATCGGACGAATCAGAAACAGTGGCAGACACTCGCTTAGTTTGCGCGGCCTTCGCTCACGTCTTCAACTTCGAAGAAGCTCGTGACTACTATTTGGACGAAAGAAGACAGTTAAATACCTGCACAAACTATCTCTGTCCAAACCGCTACTACGAGCATCAGACACAACCGGTCCTCTCCGAAAACCCACCCTACCTGTTCATCAATAGCGAACAGGAAGCACGGATTCGCGAGCGATACCACCTAGAGGAACCAGCCGAAGCAATGGATGTTCCACCCCCAGCACCGCAACCCACCATGCAGGACGTATTAAACCTCATGGTTACACTGGTCCAAAATGTCAATAACCTCACGACGACGGTAAACCAGTTCGTAGCGCACGCACGTCAGCCAGTCCCCACGGTCTCTTCCACCAGGTCCCGGTCCTTCGTCGAGAAACCAGCCACCTTCGACGGCAAGTCATCCGAAAAAGCCAGGTTGTTCCGCAGCGCCTTCCGCGTATACGTCCGAGGAAATAAAGAGATATTCGCCTCACGGAACGCTCAAGACGCCATCATCCTAGACCATGCCGGCAACTGGATAATGGACCCGCTCAAAATGATAACCGGTATCCTATCCTTCATGACGGACGAAGCAGCGGTCTGGGCACGCCCTCACATCGACGAACTCTCCGACGGTCGTACTCCGTTCAACGCTAATTGGGATGAGTTCGTCAAACAGTTCTCGGCTAAATTCGAACCCGTCGACGCAAAGAACGAAGCCAAGCAGAAGCTTATGTCGATCAAACAAGGAGATCGGACATTTGCGGACTACCTCTCTGACTTCGAGACTTACTCTCGTCGTACCGGCTGGTCAAACAACGACCTCTACGATCGTCTCAAGTCCGGGATGAATTCGGATTACCTCAATAGGCTGTCCTACTTTGCTCCTCTGGCCACTGACTACAACATGGTAAAAAATTACGGAGCAACAATCGACTTGCAAAAGGCAGACTTGGCGGCCAATCAAGGCAAACCAGTCTCGCAGCCCCGGTCGACGACAACGACGCGCTCCTCCGGTTTCCGCGACCCAAACGCAATGGACATCGACGCCATGGACATCTCCGCCGCACGCTTCGACGACCTGTTCCAAGGCCTCAAGGACCCTGCGGAGATCAAAAGGCAATACAACAAACTCATGGTCGGTCGTTGCCGCGTCTGCGGTTCCAAAGGTCACAAAGCAGACGGCGCACACGAGGACACCAAATGCCAGCATTGTGGTAAACCCGGTCACTGGAAAAAGCTCTGCCTGTCAAGACTAAATGGGCAACCACCGAAATCGCAATCAGTCCGAGCCTCATCGTCGACAAGCCCCTCGACATCGGCTTCCATCTCTACGTCTCAAGACTCAGCTGCCGACGTAGCTAGTCTCAAAGACATGATGGTCTTGATGCAGAAGCAGCAGGCTGAATTAATGGCAAAGCTCAGCCAGGGTTTTTAGCAAGGGCCCAGACTAGAGCTGCAGCTCTGGTGCCCGGTTTAGATGAGCGGCCTTCAACAGCGCCGGCTCTTGTACATTCGGACTCTGACCCCTCGGACCACATCTCGTCGTGCACTGTATCGTCAATAGATCATCTCTCGTCTCACTTTCGCGTATTTGTAACAATATCAGGAGTAAATAAATCTCTACGCACGCCTGCTATGATTGATTCCGGTGCCACCGGTTACTTCCTACACGAGAAATTCGCACGAGAAAATAACATCTACAAACGACCACTCAAACGACAGATAGGTCTCCGAAATATTGACGGATCGACTAACAGCGCTGGTGCAATCACACACTACGCCAAACTCAAAGTCAAAATCGGATCAAGAGCTCCCGAAGAATATGACTTCTTTATCACGGATATCGGTCCCGAGAACATCATCCTCGGACTACCGTGGTTAAAGAAAGTCAACCCCACTATAGACTGGGAAACAGGCGAAATGACGCTTCCTGACAGCTCAGAAGCATCGCCTGATTTACCTGCGTCGCCAAGTTTAACTAAAGTCGAAGCTAATCGAGCTGAACGCCGGGCCTGGGTGAAGGCCGGTATACTTGATAACGCTACAGACGAAGTTTATTGCCTAGCAGGCTACACCTACTCTCAGAAGGTAGCAGTCGAACAAAACAAGGAGAAATACTCGAGAACCTTCGAGCAACTCGTCCCCAAAGAGTATCATCGACATGCTCATGTCTTCTCTGAGACAGATTCTACGAGGCTGCCTGAACATAGAGCCTGGGATCACGCCATCGATCTAAAATCGGACGCCCCTTCAACGATCCGATCTAAAGTCT